AAATATCTGAGCTTATGGAACACACACATTTGGTGTAAGTCCCTCACTCAACACCTTGCAAGGATGCGCAAGCGTGGGACTTTGTTAAGTTTAGTCAAACAACAATCACGTATCTATGAAACGGTTTGCCATACATAAATAGTCTCTTACACATGTCAAGTTATCTGCTGTGGTAGGCTGTGGTGCTTCTAAGTGCCTTGGCCTCGATTGTATTGTGAGTGTTCTTTGTTAAGGGTGGAGCAGTAGAAAATCTGGTTTGATGTCCATAGATATTGGTGAGTATACTGGACGATGTTGTGAGGTAGGTAAGAGGGTATGTATGAGGGTATCAAGGGGTGGTGGACGCATGGTGGTAAAAGGCTTCCTGATCTCAATGGAATTATCTGTCAGGATTCTGTTGGAGATGGAGCTGGGCAGAGGAAGTGTTGATTTCCTTTTGGCACAGGGGAAATGTTAAAGTTGAAGTGTGGAATGCCTGTCATGTGAGGGAGGCTAGTGACATATGTATGTGTGATCAGGGACCTCCCAATTAACCACTGTTCCCGGTGGGTTTTTTTTAAGTGCTACTTTGCTTTTAGCCCACCCAAAGGAAAGCGGTGACCCTCCATAAACACCTTCATGCAAGCACACCCTTTCAGAATTCAGTGTAAGTATGGAGTCATTTAGACTCACACTTCTTGTGGTTTTGCAACAGTGCTGGGCAGGCATTCAAAAGAGACAAGTTTTGATTAGATGGCCGTTCTTCTAAGGTGTATTAGTCCTTTTTCTGAATAGCTTTTTGCTCGGGGGTTGGTATGGGCGGTTTCCGAGCTCGACAGGCCGGGGCTCAACCTGAGATTCAGCTCACGGTATGGAAAAGGATTGCGGTATCCGCACCTCCCCCCCCTTAGTAACCGTACCTCCCCCCCCACTTAGCAGGCCTTAAGATACCCCTAACAACCTGTATGTATATTTGAAATTAATCTTCAAATTTTCCAATCCTTTGACCTTGCAGGCGAGTGTGATCGCTTTCGCACACCTTTCCTCGCTCCGTTGTGATTTGAGAGCAATTCAGACGTTGGCACCCTTTGAGATCTTGTTTCTCTGGTTTGTTTTTGTTTTCACATTGGTGCACATCATCACACATTGTCACACATCACTCGCTCGATTTTCAGAACAATCGATAAACAGTTTTCCAGAAAGATTGTTACATATCTTTTGTTTGTGATCGTTCTTACACCTGCAGACTTTGGATGTGTCTCTCAATGAATCTTGAAAGTAATCTATGAACAAGTCTTTATGGGGTCTTTATTGCTTTGTAAACCAGGTCACATGGAATTAGATCTATCTGAAAATGTACATTGATGATCCACAAATTGAACTGAGATGAACTTTCCATATCACTGGGTCACATTTGACAGGTCCGTTTGTTATGACCTGTTTGATGACATTGGCTACATTGGGGTGCGGTTTCTTGGGCTTCTTGATGTTCAAATGCGCTTCGATCTCGCTTGGATTTGTTTAAAGCACCAACTGGTCGGCCACGAGAACGAATTGGAACCGGATCACTGACTGATGGAGTCGGATTAGATAGTATCAGTGCAAGTTGATTCTTTAAGACTGCTTGTCGGTTCGCTGGTAAAGTCGCATATTGGGTTTGAATGTTCTTGAGCATGGTGTCAATCTCGATGTCCTGGAGTGGTTCAATAGGTGGTACAGTATATTCAAGTCGCCAATGAATGTCAAAGTGTTGAACCAGAAGCTTTTTGCTTGATCCAATGAGCTCCTTTATAAAGTGTGCACAGGGTAAACCCTTCGATCCCGAAACTACATGTGTGCAGATCGAGTCGTTTTTCAACGACAGTGCTTGTCTGTACTGTTGATATACCTGAGCAGAGGGACAGATTAGTTATACAAACTCCAGAATAACAAGTGACAGGGAAAAGCAAATGGAAACACACCTGAAGCAATGCGTAGTGTGAGATCTTTCGATTTACCTCACTCCAGATATTACCTTTCAATCGATTTAAGATATGAGTGCGGTCATATTTCGTTTTCCAAGTTACTTTGTTTCGCTGTTGTTGACAAAGTAAAACTAACTTTTGGTACACTGTAGCCAGATCTCCAGTTGACATCAAAACCCATTGTTTAATTGAGGCATGTCCTCTTTCCACGCGAGAGGTGACAGTATGCCCAAAGTGTTTGATATCCTTTGTCCAAGCGAGGACAAATTTTTCCTTGTGTATAACCCAAGTCTTTGTGATGTAATCGAAGGCTCTTGTGTGAATCTGTGTACTGAGTGTGTTGATATTCTGATTGAAAATCTCAGGGGAAAGAGAGTCGCATATTTGGTTCCACTTCGCCTTGAATTTCTTCCATTCTTCGTCGGTAAAGTATTTTTTGATGTTTGTTTGTATGTTTTTTTCGATATGCCACTTGCAGAGTAGGTGGTGCGAATGTGGGAGCACCCGATGCAAACTATTCATCAAGGCTAACTCTCGATCAGTCACAACAGCACTTATCTGTAGTATCTTTGAGCCCAAGAAGGCCTTCATCTGCTCTAAAATCCAAGTGTAATCTTCCTCTGTCTCTTGACGCATGAAACCAAAAGCTAGCGAGACGGACTTGTGGGTTGAAGAGACCCCCATTATGTGTAATAGAGGCATATTGAACCTGACACAGAATAAACCACATCAGCCTAAATAGTGTTGAATTGCAGTCAACTCAGAGATGGTAAATACCGATTGGTTTTGTAAGTCGAGTCCATCAGTAATACATCACCAGTCCAGAGATCCTGAGCAGAGGATGCACACACATTTGGAACCAAGAAAAGGCGACGTAACAAGTGGTCTGAATCAAGTTGGTATGCGTGGAAAACACCTTCATCCTTCAGCTCATCGAGTAGAGTTTCAAGTGATGAACGTCCATCCAAATGTTCAATACGATGTTTCTTAACTACATTGTAAATGTCTTGAGGTGTTGATATATTGTTTGGATCTGAATCTTTAAGGGTACTCAAGATAACTCGGGAGGCGGCGCCTGCCTTTGCCAATTGAATGACCTCAGTAGCCTGCTCCTTTGTGAGTCTCCTCGCGGCTGGGATTTCTTCAAAGTTCTTAGAAGGTTCGTGGTTTTGGTGTTCATTATTTGTGATCTTAAGTGTCCATTGATGTGTAGTTGTGTCGCGTAGAGCCTGAGCAGACCACAAACATCCCAGGAGGCGGGTGGAGGTTGTGCGTACATCGGAATCAGTTGTTCTAGGTTGACCTCCATGAGCACAGGCAAATACCCTCTTCCTTGCTGGCCCCTTGCCTTTCTGTGCAAAGATGGTCCGAGTGATTTTCAACCAGTATCCGTGGCTCTTTGTGTATTCTCGCAGGGAATCTTCAGCATCCTGGAGTGAGGGGTAGAGCATTGAAAGATTGAGATCCATGCCAGAAGGCTGAAGAGGTTGGACGAGCAATGATGAACTGAGCTGATGTAGGTGTTGAGAGGTTTTCAAAAAAGTAGCTTCCAGACCAGGTTGAATCCTTCCTTAAATTCAAATATACATACAGGTTGTTAGGGGTATCTTAAGGCCTGCTAAGTGGGGGGGGAGGTACGGTTACTAAGGGGGGGGAGGTGCGGATACCGCAATCCTATGGAAAAAACCTAAAAATAACGAACCGGAAGCAAATTTGTAATTGATGGGTTGCCTAAATGCCAACTTTTCCCTCTTTTCCCTCATTTAAAAACAAAAAATAGAACAGATTGATCATCCAACGTCATAGTCAAATGATTTATTTAGAGCATCCACTATGGGTGCGGTAACCAAGTGATTTATCGTAACTTTAACGCTAAATTATACACAGGTCCACTATGGACCTGTTTTAGACTTGCGGTCCGTACGACTGCATCAAATCTTGCTCTCCGTGTGTTCAAATCTACGCAAGCCTACGACTTGATTTATCGTAGGAAATCAAGTCGAAACTACTGTTCCCAAAACTTCAAACTGCATATGAAACTTCATTTCTCAAACTTCAAACATCAAAACCTCACTTTCGAACTTCAAATTTCAAACTTCATCCTCAAATCTCAACTTCGAGATATCACATCTCGGAACATTGCACTTTGAATTGAATCGATTTCAATCACAACATCACCCTATATCTTAATCTTTTGTGAGACACCTTAAGAATTGAGGTGCACAATAGTCAATTGCTGAGTAGGCTGAGCTCGAGCTCAATCTGTTTGGAATTGAGTCTGAAATGGTGAAGGTGGTGTGTGAAGCCTATAAAACAAGATTTCTAGACAAGTTGCTCAAATTCTTGATGTTCCTCATCATTGTGGTTTGAAGACTTCAAAAGACAGTCGATGTGTCTCTTCAAGGAACTTGTAGTGGGCATCTGATGGATGGTTTTTCGGATGGGATTTGTGAGAAAGATATGATAAATCATCGCAAAATCAAACCACTGTGGATCTGGTTGATTCACAGTGATTTATCGTAGTTAAATCAGACATTACATCAATCCGTAGTGGATTTCATGCGGTTACCAACTTAGGTAAAACACGCGTGATTAAATTTCGCGGTCAGGAACGCAAAACTTACGATAAATCACCATCATGATACACTGTGCAGATGTAGTATTTTTCCACCATGCAAAATGATTAAAATTAATGTCAAAATGATTAAAAATGCTGTGTTAATGCATAAAAATGCACCATTAATGCGGAAAAATGCAGCATCAATGCAGTAAAATGCAGTGTTAATGCACACACAAAATGAATTCAGAATTCCACCTTTTTCAATTTTGTTTGTCCTTCAGGTCAATCATTTTTCACTTGGGAAAAATACTACATCTGCCCAGTGATAGTGGATGCTCTTATGGTTGGAGTAGTTTCGTGTACATACGATCACAAAAGTTATAAGAGCGACTTAACATATCCTTCATTCCCTCTCACACCAAACTTACTAGATATCCTCCAGACCTTACATCTTGAACTGTCTCATCAGACCTGTCTCATTCCTCAAAGAATTTGCCATGCTTTTCTTCAAAGTTGCCATCGCTGCTGTTTCAGCTGGTCAGTGAATTAACACTGATCCATATCTCTATTCACACATAATCTTACTTGATCCTCTATTTATTCTCATAGCCACAATCTCCGCCAGCCTTGTCTAAGTTGACCAAGCGTGAGCAAAGCCTTGACCTCTTTCTCTGTATTGCTGCAAGTTTGCACCTGCTCTCAGGAACTTTACCTAACACATGCCTTGATCTCAGTATCACTCGTGACGTCTTACAACGACGATTTGCAGAGTTCACTCCGATCATCGAAAAGAGATTGTAAGTGAACGTTCTGAGCATCAACTCTCGTTACTCTACTCTACATCGTTTGACTGATTGATATGATACCTGTCTACACGAAACAAATCTCACTAGCTCAAAACCCCTCAAAACTCGTAACTCTTCTCCTGGACCTGGTCCTACTTCTCCTGGATCTGGACTCCCCCCCACAGAAGCGCCCCCAACCTGCAACCCATGTGAACAAGGAGGCGGTTGTTGTTGATTCGGCAGATGTCAATGTAATCAACGTATGTTGCAGTTCAGGAGAGCTATATGTGGGCGTGAACGCTTATTATGACATGCAACAATTTCTTTCCAGAAGAGCCTTCTAGGCATTCTCCTGGTCAAAGTTTGAAGCCAGCTCGCTTTCCCCTTATCATAGCCATTCATCGGTCAGGGTTTTTTTGTACACCAGCCGATTTGTAAACCAAGTGAATCTATGACAATAGTTTCTCAACTCTGGCAGTTTCTCAACGTTTTGCTACTCTGATTGTTCCGAATCAATGGAAATTGAAAATGTAAAGTGTATTCGTCTACTCTTCCTATGGGCAATCTTGATTCAATCAGGGTGCTAGTTCACTTACAGTCGATCTGATAAACTGACTGAGGTCATGTTCTCATGAGAATCCGATATACATTTGAAAGTCTTTAACTCTTAACATGAGAATTTGAGTACACTAGAGTTCGTCTTTTGACTTTGACTTTACCAAAACCATTGGTTGAGTTTTGCAGTAAACCAATGATCGTTCATCAAATTGAAGCTCTAGTGGGCATAAGTCCCAGTCTCATTCATATCATTTTTACTTTTTCAAGTGTCATTGTTCTTACCTTCGCCTTACTTGTGATTTTGATCTATTTTAGGCTGGTGTGGATGAAATTGTTTTGGCTGTCAATTATCGACCTGAGGTGATGGTGGCAGTTTTAAAAGATACAGAAGAGAAATATGGAATTCGAATCACTTTCAGTGTGGAAACTGAGCCATTTGGTCAGTGAAACTTTTAAATCACCGTTTCCCATCGAATCATCAACTGACCAAAACTTACTTTCAATCATTTTCCTTAGCTGGTCCGCTTGCTCTTGCAAAAGACATTCTCGGAAAAGATGATTCACCATTCTTTGTTCTTAATTTTTGACAGTGCCTATAAGTTCAGATTGTGGGTGGCAAACAGTAAGATCCCAAGTTTAGCCCCACTAGAGCCAAATTTAATGCTAACAATTGAAGATGCTCTAAATACTTGTGTTAATTACCTCATGGTTCAAACTAACTTATAATACCAACACACCTCCCTAAATATGTAGGCGCCAAAGATAGCCAACATACTCAAGCACCTCAGAAAAACTGATTTGAGTTGTGATGAAGGTATTGATGGACAGAAAAACTGATTTGAGTTGCAAATAAACAAGGTATTGGTGGACGGAAAATCTAATTTCAGTTGTGATTAAAATATTGGTGGACGGAAAAACCATTTTGAGCTGCAATGTAGGTATTGGTGGACAGAAAAGATATCTTGAGTTACAATCAGGATATTTGTGGACAGAAAAAAATCTTGACTTATGGTCAGAACATTGGTGGACAGAAAAAACATTTTGACTTACAATTAAAATATTTTGGCTTACACTTGAGATATATGTGGATGGCAGCATCATCTTCAGAATGAGATAAAATGCAAGCTAACTACCACATTGAATAATGGAACATTTTTCCCGTCCACCAATAACCCAATTGTTGGAATTATTTGTCCATTCACCAATATCTCAATCATAACTTGGAAAGTTTTTTCTGTCCACCAAGATTCTCAAATGTCAGTCAAACTTTTTTTCCATCCACCAATATTCTACCCATGACTTGAAATGTTTTTTCCATCCACCAATATCCTAATCATGACTCGAGATGTTCTTTCTGTGCATTGATATTTTAATTGTAACTTGAAATATTTTTTCCATCAACCAAATCCTATTATAATTGCAACTTGACATGTTTTTTCTGTCCACCAATACCTTAATTGCAACTCAAAAAAATTCTGTCCAGCAGTAATTTGATCACAACTGAAATTAGTTTTTCCATTCACCAATATTGTAATCATAACTTGAGATCTATTTTCCATCCACTGATATCCTAATTGTAACTGTGAAATCTTTTTTCTATCCACCAATATATTAATTTTGAGATTTAGGTGTTTTCTTATGGCACCTACAAAATGAGCATGTAGGCACTTTTTGCAGTGCCTAATGGTCATTTCAAAATGTAGGTGCCATTTTGAAGAACATAGGCCTGGATCTCAGCACCAGACCCCATAATATAGGTGCCATTACGTGAGAAACACACATGTATCAAGAGCTAAATTATTAAACTTGAGGGAGTATGTTGATACTGTACTTGTCTATTTTTGAGCTCTAATAGCCTTGTCTTCCTTCATAATCCTCTCTGAGTCAAATATTGTGTTCTTGAAATGACTTGGGACCTTTTGCCATGTCAATTCCTCTCCATCATCACCCTGAATCAATTTTTGAGTTAAGGCTTCATCCATTCACCTCCTTTGCCTGTCATAGAAAATAAATTCCATCCAACTTTTGTGCAGTCAACTGAAAATTGCATGGGGTTCATTGAATTGTAGAGTTCTACTTGATTAACAAAGATGTCCTCTTTGATACCCCATGATCCATTGAATTTATTGGGTGTTGGTACTTTTGGAGGTCAAGCTTTTGGGTGGGCAATTGTTGGCTGGGTAGCTGGGTAGGACACTATTCTTTGTGTTTCCTCAGATAATCTAACATCCATGGCTTCAAGATGTGCCATAATTAGTGCTAGTGGATCTGGACCTGCCATTGCCATATTCCCCAAAGTATTATCCATGCTGTTGAATTGAGAAGATGCAGCCAAAGTAAAATTGGCACTAGTTTCTGGGCTATTAGGCTGGCTATTACACACTTTGAAACCAGGTATGATGAATAGAGTTTGAGTTGAGTGTGATGAATGGGAACAGAGATTGCGAGGAGTTGTTACGTTTGAGATAAAGTTTGAAGGTGGGGTAATAAAAACTTCTTTGATAATTGTATTTTTTATCTTGACTTCTCCATTCTTTCTTGCTTTGAATTCATTTAAACTTTGATCTTCTTTTAGGTCTTCTTCTTTCTTCACTGACTTTGAGGCACTGTTTTGATTATAGACAGTTCAATATGATATAAGCTTTGTGATACAAGATCAGAGGTGTGATGGTATTATAACTTAGATTGCACCGTGAGGTAATACCACAGTATGAACATGAGTCTTCAGAGTGAGGTAAGCTGTAATCAGTACAAGTCTAGGATATTACATTGACAAGCAACTGAGATGCATACATAGAGATAATGACCTCTTTGATGTGTCTACAACCTTGATGATGGAGTAAAGGAAGTTAGGGAAATGTTTTCAAAGCCCTCTTGTCATGACTGGGTTAAATTCCAATTCTGACTGAAAAATATCAAAGCTTGAGCCATTGTTCAATATCTGTTGCAAAGCTGATCATTTGCAAATTGTTATTGCCAATTTTGGGACTTGGTGAAAACCTTTTAGAATCTAAGATTCTCCATACAACCATAAGAAGTCAAGATATAAATGAATTGAGACTATGATGATGTGAAGACTATTATTCAGGTTCTTTGTCAAATGTAACAGTACTCAAGCTCACCGTGCAGGCTTGGGGACCCACTCTGCAACTACAGTTGGCCTCAGCACAAGAATCTATTTAGGAAAAACCCTACTGTGCCACTACCACTAAACTTGAGTTCTTGGGTCACTGTGGGCTTGTGCTGTGACCCCTTGGAAGGTTTGAAAAGAAACTTCACTGAACTTTCCTGGGGGGCGCTGTGAGAACACTGCACAAGGTTTTCTAGATCCCAAGAGACCTTATTTTTTTTCAAATCAATGGGATACCAGTATAGGAGACTGGTTCCATAGGATATGGGGTAGGAAGGCTAGTCCTAAATCACACAGGAACCAATTAGAAACCCTAAGTGTTGATATTTAAGTAGTTTAGTATCTTTTTGTAGTAAGTGCCAGTTTTAATGACCAAAGGTCTTACACCCCTGAACCCCCGTGCAATCACCATTAGAGCCACTCCAAGAAGTTATCTTGCTGGGTTTATTTACAAGGCATTTCAACAGGTTAGAAGTTTGCAGAAAGAGAAGATACAATATAATCCATGTCCAATTTCTTGACAATCAGATCTCAATACCGGTATGTGTGCACTCACCTCTCAAAATCAAGTGAAGGCTTTTTGTGCTTTTCACAGAATTGTCTCACAGAAGTAAGGCATGGGCATTTTGGCTGTTGGGGTTCATTTACTTGGTTACATTATTTGTTTCTAATTTTGTTTTAGTGTTGTTTGCTTACTTATGTTATACCACACCTGTTGTGAATATTCTCACAATTTACTCATAAGGTTGAAACCTAGCAATGATATCTATTGCTGTTTTTAGATACCTTGTTTGTCATCTTTGGCAACTTTCTCTGTTCATTCAACTTGAAGATTCTGTTTTACAAAACACTCAACACCTCATCATTATACATCTTCAGCATTGCTTATCATATATTAGACTGAGTTTTGAGTTCTGCTTCTTGTTAATTCTTATCAAGGATCCCAAGGATGGCTAAAATACATGCCAGTAGTTTTGCTCAAGTGAATAGAAAAAGATGATAAGTGAGGATAAGTGTTGAAGGAGCAGACCAGAACTTTCAAGCTACTGAATTCCAGATTAGTTTCAGGGAACATGATAAATATCAAAAGTAAGCATCAGTTGTTATTTATTACATAACTAAGACTGTTTTGCCTCTTTTTTAACATGCCGAATTGGTGTTGTTTTGGGTTTAAATTTTCTCCCACACATATATCAATTGCGCAATGCATCATGCCACATCAATGGCCCTTACTGATGATTGATAACACGTCAATGTGGGTTATAATTTTGATAACCCTCTCCCACACAAACAGCCCATTCTGCAAACAAGTCTAGACTCATTTTACAACTTGATGAGTCAATGTTGGGTGTTGCTGTGACATGAACACACCATCCTGGAAAGTAAAGTCCACCTTGCAGGAGCCTTCCAGTCACATTGTACCAACGTAGTGAAGTCAAGGTGAAGTGTAGGACATATCAGAATTTACCAGCAAAACTCATGGGATCTGAAGTCTTGGGTATATGAGTTCAAAGTGACCAGTTTATGAGTGATGAATGTAAAGTTGATTCAAATGATGTTAAATCGATGTGTTGGTTGCGATGAAACTCCCTTTATTATACCATCTCATGTAAACCAATTACCCTTTAAAGCTTATCATAAGCTGGGAGGAACTTAATATCAGACATGTCACATTTGTAAAATTCACGTTTAACATCTCATATTTACACAATTCATACTTTTAACGTGGAGTTGTCTATGAGGCTGCATTTTGTATGGAAATTACAAGGTTAGACTCTCAATACAACCTTTGAGATGGGGTGCAATTGGTTTCGAATGGCGGGATACCAGGTCCAACATCCTTGAGCAAGATACCAGTCATTTGTCTTTTCTTGCTGCCGATCTGGATACAAACCATGTACGAAGATTGGTTCGGTAGTACGATCTAGGAGAGGAGGCTAGTCATACTCTCGCCCGTGAACTTCACCAATCAGTGTTGCCAAGATGCTTGACTGGATGTTTATGGCTCGCATGATCTTCTAGATCATCAGTACCTCCGAACCGGACTCGGGCTTTCACTTTTGTTTTGCCTTTCGGTTTCGGAGACTCTACTTTAGGTTCGGATATAACAGGCTCAGGATTGACGATCGATTCTGAATAAGGGTGACTTGCTGGATCTTCTATGGGTTCAGCATCGATGCCGAGGCCCATCATTTCGATTCTGAAACCTTTTCGTCTACCGACTTTGAAGCCTAGGTTGGTATCGATCCCACCGGCTTCGGCAGAATCGGAAGCGCCAAGTCCACGTAGGACAGAAAGCTTGGTCGAGGGAGGCGAGAGAGAGGCATGTGAGGGTAGGCGTAAGAAGTGACATACACCTTGATGGTCTGATAACCAATTGAGCAAAAACAACGTCAGCTAGCCCGACACATATGGCTTCCTTCTAGTTCAGAAAGCCGGAGGTTCTTTGTCATGATTGAATGCTCACTTGGAAATGCAGTCTGAGAAGCATCATTGCCTGCAAAGCTTTCGAGGGCAAGACATCCGTCGGTTGCCCAACAGAGCATTGGCATCGCTTGTGCTGAGTAGATCGTACTAGGGAAAGTGATCATGGCCACGGAAGAAGAAGGTTGCAGGAGAGACTTCAATCTAACAAGAAACTTGAAAAGGATCTGGTCCCGAAAAACAAACAGGCTTTGTAAGTCATGATGAACTGGGGGAGTTGGGCAGTGGAAGAGACATCATCTGCAAAGTATTCACAGTATGCGATGCTGCTGGTGATCCTGGTGAGCCTAAGGAATGAATGGCTATCCGAAGCGGTGGATATGGATGGGAAGGAGGGTGAGGGGCGCTAATGATTTGATCGATTTGATTAAGAAGGTCATCATAACTAGGACAGTCGGCAACATCTATGCAACTGATCCGTTTTCTTTGTTCGTCTGAAAGCACCATAGTCTTGCTCAAGTCAAAGGAATGACATTGACCGCGTTGGTGTAATTCTGTTGAGAATGTTCAAGGATAGACTTAGCGAATCGTTTGAAGCAGCGAGTTTGCGAGTGAGAAAGTAAAAGCCTCTCTAATGACCTGTTTGAGCTTGATGTTTGCCCAGAGATTCATACCTCCACGCGATCTTCATTTGTTTTGATTTATCATCCAGATTTGATTCTTCTTCTTCATCATCATCATCTAGTCCAGTATCGTGAACTGGAACTTGAGCCGATTTTTCATTATCAGTAAGATCCATTAATCGATCGATCAAAGCCGTAGGTCCACCACCATCATCGAGAGAAGAACCAATGACCAATGATCTTTGACCAGCCGCCAAACCTTGAGTGATCCAATATCGCAGTACTAGTCTTGAATAGGATGAATCACTATCTTCAGCTACCAGAAAACTGGATGAAGCTGGAATTCCACCACCTAGTACATCATCTAATGAAGCTATTCCTGTTGAAGTGAGAGGAAGACCATTGTAATGTGATGGATAAAAACCAGTTGGAATGGTGCTTCCACTTGGTATCTTTTTCTTGAATGATGACATTTATACGGGTATAGACGTTGGATTTCCTTTAACCTCCGCGATTCATCAAAGCCTTGAAGAAGTGAGCCGAAAGAGGTAGATAGCTATTAGAGTGAAACTCGAGTTGGGGTGTTTCATGTAAATTTCTAATGAAGGTCATCTTCAGACTTCAAAGTTCAAATGTGGTTTGAGTGTCAGTATGTAATCACCAATACAGCTTACTCAATTTATTTTAGGTGGTCTGGTTTGATTTCATAATCCCTCAGCTCAGCAATCAGTCACCTTCCATGATCATGAACCCAACAGAAGAACAAGAAATCAATCCTCAACCTTCTTCATCAACTAATCATCAACCAACATCTGATAACATCCATTCAGCACCTCCCCCATCATATGCTGAAGCTCACCTCCTCCAACCTTACCAATCAACTCAATCCATCTCGCCTCACCCCTTTGAATCATCTCACCATTTCCCCGATGGACTCTTTATCATAAAGAACCGAAGCTCAGAAAAGGTCTTGGACGTTCGAGGTGGAGCTTCAGATGTTGGATCAGAGGTTGGCTTACATTCAAAATTTCATCTTCTAACACCATACTAAACATGATTTTCTTAACAGGTTATTGCTTATCAAATGAAGCGACCTGTTCTGATAGATGGAGATCTTATGCATCGTAAAAACAATCAGGTCTGTCTTCATCATCGATCAGATGGTATATAATCATTGCATACCGACGAAACACGCAAATCACTTTATCCATTTGACTCCATCACACCTTTTGAACTTTTTTCCATTCTTTTGGTTGATCATATCGATCTCCTCCAGCTCTTTTTCTTAGATTGGCACGGATGTTTATGCGCCGCTAATTCTCGTCTGACGATTGATGTTGATCCAAACTTTGGTCTGTTCCTATCATCGCCACAACCGATCTGTTCAAATCCAAATCCATCATCACATCCACCACCACAATTTTTATACGATTTACAAACTCGAACGATCTCAGTTCAATTTTCACATGATCCTACTTATTCAGGTGCAAGTTTAGAACAAATTCATAGTGTTGATTATTTACTGGAAGTTCAGCCTAAATCAAAATTAGAGCAACCTCCACCTACTGCAACAGCTCTTGAGAAATTATCTGAATGGATTCCTTTTACTAGATCACCTCCTTTATCGAATTCATCAAGAACATCTCCATCTACCTCTACCGCTGCATCTCAACTACCTTCATTCCAAGCATCCGTTGATTTCTTAAATACTTCATCTGATCCAGATCTTGATGATTCATCAGACCCATCAAGAGAAGTAAGAGTAGTATCAGTAGCACCAGGTTGGCGTGAAAAATTTCCATCTTCGAATTCCCCAGAAGCATCTAAATGGCTTAAGCGTCAATTCGATCTTGCTAAGATTGTTCGACAAGCTCGTAGAGATTTTGATCCGAACTCAGGACTTGATTTATCTCATCTTGATCCTGATGCTTCTCCTCTTGATCAAGGTGCATTGTCTGAGCTCGGTGATGTACTTGGAGAAATAGGTACTGAAATTTCAAGGGCTTTCAGGAGATCTACTTGATATTTCTTCAAGGGTTTGGGTCCTGGAAGGATAAGGTGATGAGGATGATGATGATTGCTTTGTCACCATCTGATTCTTGGGGACTTTTGTATGATCATGCTGATAATAATTGGTTGCAATGTTTCAGGCAGACTGTTGTTTCTTTTGTATGTCATAGCTTCTTCTCACCTTTAGCAATGTGTAGTAGGAATAACAGATAATTTGATGTAATGAATTGGTTTGTATTATTAAATTAGATGTTGCAAGAGAGACCAACAAACACCTGGTGTGAAACCCAACAAAGTACACATCTTGCCTCAGAAGGCTTTGAGCAAGGCAATTTTGGCAAAGGTCTGTATGGAGTGTTGGCACTTTGAGATTCAACAACCACCATGAGAACTTCACACCTCATAGACCATCATTCCTTGCTCACCAGTTCATCTTCAAGACCTTGGGTATCTCTGCATACTACTTGCAGGTGGTTACAGTGGGTTGAACTGCTTCAATTGAAATTTCTTGACCAATCCTGACTCCAGAACCCTTTAGGGGCCCTGTAACAAACCTTTTTTCAGCTGATTTAGAGGTTTTCACCACCAAAACTCAATTACCTGGGAAGTTGGGCATATGGGAACTCAAAAAGAGAAATTCCCAAGCAGAACATTTGAAAGAAGCTTTTTAAAGCTCAAAGTCAGGTTAGTCAAAATATGGATCCCTTCAAATGGGATGTTGAGGGAAAAATCCAGAAAATCTGGTCTTGCCCCCAAGCTTGAGCGCTACCTATAATTGCCTCTTACAAAGCCTTGTGAGGCAAGAGGAAGACAATTTAAAGAATAACAAGTTAAAATCTGGGCATCTGTTGACTCCAGAATTCCAGAATTGCTTTTTGGCTGTTGTTTGGCCCAGACATATGACCAGATTTCTGGAAGTACAGCCAAAAAGGGATTCCAGAATTCTGGGCACAAGTCTGGGCTTCAACTTTGTATCTTGTAAATGGTCTGCATGAAACAGGCATGATGTAATTTTTGAAGTCAAAAATAGAGAAAGCAAAGAAGATAGGCTATTTCTAGTGGATTGATATCTATACTGATCATAGTACTTTGTAAAAATGATTCAATTACCACCCAAGTCAAATTCATACATATTCAGTTGATGCTTTGATCTGTGTAAGTATTCCTCAAGGCACACACAGTGTGAAGAAAGCCAAAGAGACACAAATCTTTGATTTATCACCTCTCAATCTTGTCATTTTTTTAAATTTCTTTACATGGTGTTTTTTTGTTGGAATCCTCCACCATGTATCTTTTAATTCTGGGTCCATGATTGAACATCATTTTTTTGGTTTTATTCTCATTGAATTAGTAATTCAACATCTTTTCATTGTTTCCCTGAACCATTGAAGTGTAAAAAACATTGACAAGCTGATTGAAATGCCAAACTTCTTTGTAGGTCTTGCAACAATGAACCAGACTGATGAGTCAAAGTTGAAGGCATTTGTGACAAAAAAGGGATGTAGTGTAGAAGCAAGATGAGGTGAGCTCAAGGAAGAATTTTAGAATTAAGAACATGTTTTTTTCCTTCAATGAGTTCAAAATTTTTGGAGTTTGATTTCTGGGTGGTACTTGGATAGCTTAAACCTACCTGTTTGTTGATCATTCATCCTATCCTAGAAGTTGAGCTTAGAATGTTATTCTTGAAGGTCCTACCACTTTTAGTTGAGAGTCAGGATTCTTATGATGGTGATTGTAACAAGATTTATTTATGTGTGTTGCAAACAGCTTGCATGTAATGTTTTTATATCCTTTCTTTGCAAAAGTGCATCAATCTTCATATCATTTGGACCACCCTCTTGTATGAAATACGATGCTTGCTTGTATAGTAAATACCATCTTTATTTTGCAGATGACTATGGAGAGGCTTTGAGTAGATACTTATCTGGCAACAAGAAAGGTGCACTAGTGATCCAGAAAGAGAGAATCAAGCCATTTTGCATATACTGGACATTGAGGAATTCTCTTACGAGGACCAAAAGGATGCATTCTGATTGTTGAATAGTTGAGTTTTTGAAGATAGACTTGTCAAAATGGAAAAAGATGTGATCAAATACTTTTGCTTCAGTTGTGATCTGGATCATGTGTTTTTGATGTTTTTAGAGTCCATGATCACTTCAGCCATCATTGACTAATCTGATTCATAAACCAAGCTCTCACCGTCGCCGACGTGAGTTATATATAGGAGATCTGCGTAGAAGCCGAGGCTTGGTGACTGTGTTTACAAGATACAAGAGCCTTGCTACTTGCTATGGTTGTGCTGGGTGCGCTACTGAGGGTTGTGTTTAATCGCATGCTAGCGTTGTTATTCATCGTCGAGCAGAAATTGTCTTCCACTCACCTTGGACTTGTGTCACAGAGGGAACTGCCTTATATCTCAGGCATCTTCGTTTGCGTGTTATACCATCTTTATGACTGAAAGCTTGCTGTGTTGCAAGCAGTGCTAAGCGGTGCAGGTGAGCTAAGTGTGATTCAGCAGAAGTCGGAACGTATCGTACCCCACCTAGGTGAGCGGCCGGGAAGGAAGGCAGAGACTGACTCTGAGGTGTTGTCTGGGCTGACCTTTCCTTTGTTGAGCACGATAAGGAGTACTAGGTCTGAGTATCACATTATTAACAACGTGAAGGATGACAGTGGGGGGTCCGTGGTTACAAAAGCGCGGTAGACGCGAAGAAGGGGGAGGATGAACCTTGTAGAAGGCGAAAAGGAAGAGGCATGCATATTTTTTGAAGATCATGTGAGTTATCATCACTTGGCTTGAGTCGGAAGATTGAGTTTTAATTTCTTTGGTAGCGAGAGATAAGACGGCTGGATGCGGATGAGGAGAGGGGAAGCGCTGTCTCTGCGGCTACTTCGATTGATTAGTTTCACCTCGCCATATATATTTATAGACGTAAGAAACTCTTGAACGATCGAGTAATAGTAAGTTATAGGAACACGTTGTAGTGAGGATAGTCAGGGTCAAGTTATTACTAGAATCGAAGGGGGAAATTGGATTATAATTCTTTTCGTTCCCATCTCGACTCCACTTGACTCAAGCTTTGAAGTTGAGAGAGGGTACTAGTGATAAAAGATCATAAATACACTTTCAACTTGACGATCGAACACTGACCGAGACTTGAGACTGCGAGTTTGACTGGCAGAGGTACGGTGGTGCTGAGTGAATTGAAGGTCACCCGAATTGAACGAACCTCCTCTCCTTCTCACCTGATTACCTTCTCTCTCCCTTTTTTTTAACACGTTGGCTTCAAGTTCCATTTCCGATTCCGATATCGATTCCCCAATTTAATTTCTTCTCATTCACATCTACCCCCATCGAGTTTTCATCAGTCTGTCAACCTTCGACACCTCGATATGAGCCTTAGAAGTATTCTCAACAACCCTCCTTCACCCGTTCATTCCCGTCAACTCTCCTCGCTCGTCACTCCTCTCTCTCCTTCTACCGAACCGATTGATCCTACACCACAGTCATCTGGAGAACCCTCAATGACGATCCCATCGGTATGTCTTACGGTTCACTCCTCATCTCATTCAGTCACGCTTGTCCTTACTCCATTTCCCACTCTCTTTTTGGATCTCTTTCAGACAGAAATCGGTCAGTCTACCACTGGTGGTGCCACCTCAAGAATCATTCGTCCGAAACGTTACCTCGACCAGGTTCTAGATCCAGATGCATTAGAGGACCTTCACCCGGATGCATTGCCACCCCTGAGTGAGCATCCTTATCCGGCTCCTCAAGGATATGCATCTTCCGATGCCTTCGATCTCGATGACTTTGCCGAGGTCTGGAGCGAGCCACTCAATAATTACATGGTCTCGTCTCGTCGTCGCGAGCAGCTTCTCAGTCGTGGCTTCGATGATTGGGATGCCACCCAAAAGGAAGAGACGGCTACTCGAGTTGCCGCTTGGGCTGGTGAGCGTGCTGAGAGTGCAATTCAACTGAAACAGGCCCGCCTCGAACGACGTCGTCAGGAAGAAGAAGAGCGGTTGAGACGGGAGAAACTACTACTTCAAGAGGAAGCTCTTCGGGCCGAACGCGAAGAAGCCGAAGAAGCCAAGAGAGTCCGCAAACAGCAAGCTGCTGCCGCTTCCAAGGAACGAACTCGTGAAAAGCGGCGAATCGCTAAGGAGGAAGCTGCCAAGAAACGTGACGAAGAATTGTTGAAGAGACGCGAGGAATACGCTGCCGCCAAAGCAAATGCCATTCGTGATCAGGCACAAGCCTTGGAAGAACAAACTCGACAGGCTCACTTCCGTGAAGAAGCCGAAATGGCCGCGCAGACCAGTCTCGAGCGCGCCAGACTAGAGGCTCAAGCTACAGAAGCTCGCTCCCGAACTCACGCTGGCCAGCCTGCCAGTTGGACATCTCATGCTGACTGGCAAGCTGATCATGTCGAGCAACAGTCTCGTCATCCCAAGCAACATTGGTCGACTTCTTCATCTCATCAATATCACGATCAACAACCCTATGAAGGAGAAGGCTATCAAGCTGAGGAGGCGATGGATGAAGAGGTTGAGGATGTCAAGCAGACAATGAAAGGTCGAATTCCTTCTAATTTAGCAAATCTATTGAATTCGCCCCACGATCACCATGCTGCTCTGGGTGCCCAACCACCTTCGATTGATCGCGGTACCTCGCGACCTGTGCCTCGTCCAGTCGCTGGATCGACAGGAAAACGGAAACGGAAGGCTATCGAATCAGTCACCGATTCACCTACCCCGAGTGAATCCTCATCTTACCCTCACCCTTCACGTCAACTTGCACATCCGACCGACAATCCTCCTCTATATGCCCATTACATAGTACCCCATCCAGCTTCAGGTCAATCAGTACCTTTTCCAGCTGGTTTCGCGGCTCCTCTCCATCATCCCTTTGGCCCAGGTGCTATAGCTAGTACCGGATTGAACCACGCATCACCCTCGAGTCGAGTACGCCTTGCCGGGTCAGAAGTCTATCACCAGCCTAGGCCATCCTCCTCCTCATCTAGAACTGCACGGCATGCCGATGATCGAATCTTTGCTCCTGAAGGCCTCGAAGCGCATCTCCCCTCTCATGTAGTTATCGCTGAATCGAACATACCTACCGAGCCTCTCGTTGATCCAGCGACGCGGAGGATTGAAAACAGAACTCTTCCAGCGTGGGGTCACGATCTACCTTATGGAACTGAACCTTATGAGTCCTTCTCAGATCAATTGGACTATAAGTTACCTGTCCGTGAACGCGCGCTGGCCAATCCTAAAGTGTTGGCCAATAAACGCTGGGAAGCGATCGAAGAAAATTCTAAACAAGTATGGCTTCAGATCGCTCGAAAAGATATCCCTCGAGTCAGTAAAATACAGCAGGCAGCTAGCCAGAGTCGATTGATGTACGCCAAACGGCTGTGTGCCTTGGTTAGTCGTGAGGGAAGACGGATAATCGTCCGCACAAAAGCATCCAAGGAAGTGCAAATAAAGGCCAAGCGATTGATGAGAGAGGTAAGTATTATGATATGTCACGTTTGTGTTCTTCCACACTTGTTGATCTTACTCTGCGTTTTTTTTGTTTGAAAGTTACTGGTCTATTACCGTGGGAATGAGAAGCGTGAAAGGGAAACTAAGAGGAAAGCGGATAAGGAGGCAGTCGAGCGAGCTAAGAAAGATGACGAAATGCGCGAAGTCAAACGTCAGGCTCGCAAACTCAACTTCCTCATCACGCAAACTGAGCTTTACTCGCACTTTGTGGGCAACAAAATCAAAAGTGAGATTTTTTTCTCGTCTCAATATTTGTCACATGTATGCGTTGGTCACTGATAGTCTTGCCATCAACTTTACATTTGTATGTAACTCAATAGCCAAAGAAGCAGAAGAAAGCGAAGAGACCGCCGGCGCTGCCCCCATCGCTGGTGATCAACCTGTAACTGTGGCCACAAGTACTGGAGCGACTGTTCAACTGCCCGATGACTTGGCGAATGGCGGCGCGGAGGCTGATTTGGCAGCTCTCAATTTCGATGATGGTAAGTATTCCCATCTACATACTCGAACGCCGAGATTCGTGTCATCTAATCTTGTCAATGTTTTGTAGATGACGAATCCAATCTACATGCACATGCAGCGCGCAACGCGCGATTGGCAGTAGATGCTGCCAAGCAACGGGCTCAGGCCTTTGATACCGCGGCTGCTCAAAAGCTTGCAGCCACCGCACCCGATGCCGTTGCCCCCGATCCTGCTGCTCCTGCTGGTGAAGAAGGGAACAAAATGGTCACAGGGATTGATAGTACGTAGTTCAAGTCAATTATCGTTGTGTTGGTCTTTAGAGTTCTTGACCTGACTCCAAATCGTTTGTTTATGTCATTTAGTTGATCGAGATGACCTCAACTTCCAGAATCCTACCATGGCTGGCGATATACAAGTCAAACAACCCAAGATGCTGATGGCAGAGCTCAAAGAATATCAGCTGAAGGGTTTGAATTGGCTGGCAAATCTGTATGAACAAGGTATTAACGGTATTCTTGCAGACGAGATGGGACTCGGAAAGGTATGCGACTTTTTCTAGGTGACAATTTATCTTGATCTATACTTATGAATATCTGTGTGTAATTTCACAGACGGTGCAATCTATCTCATTGATGGCGTATTTAGCCGAAGTGCATAACATTTGGGGACCTTTTCTAGTCATCGCTCCGGCTTCTACCCTACATAATTGGCAGCAAGAGATCACAAGGTTCGTTCCGGCTTTGAAAGCACTGCCTTATTGGGGTAGCGTCAAGGACCGAGCGATTTTGCGAAAGTTTTGGAATCGGAAACATTTACGGTATGATCGGGAGGCCCCGTTTCATGTGGTCATCACCAGTTATCAATTGGTGAGACTGTTCATCATTATCCCTTCTACCGTAGATGGCGCCTAATGTATGATCTCATTGATAAACAAACAGGTAGTACAAGATGAAAAATATTTCCAGACCTTGAAATGGCAATACATGATTTTAGATGAAGCACAAGCCATCAAAAGCTCAAGTAGTACACGTTGGAAGACTCTGCTTGGGTTTCATTGCAGAAATCGGCTACTATTGACGGGTACCCCGATCCAAAATTCCATGACTGGTAAGTCGAATCTATGTTTTCCAGCGATGTCTTCCTCGCATTTCGTCAACATCTAACTTTTTTTGTCGGTGATCACTGTATGTTCACTGTGACTAGAACTTTGGGCTCTGTTACATTTCATCATGCCACAGTTGTTTGACTCACATGAAGAATTCAGTGAATGGTTTGCGAAGGACATCGAGAATAGCGTCGACAAGGCTGGAGGAATGAATGAACATCAGCTACGAAGATTGCATATGATTCTCAAACCGTTCATGCTTCGAAGAATCAAGAAGAACGTGCAGAACGAATTGGGTGATAAGATTGAGATTGATGTTGCTTGTGGTCTTACTCCTCGCCAGAAACTCATGTACAGCCGGTTACGTGAGAATATGTCAATCGCCGACTTGGTCCAAAAAGCTACTTCCTTATCGAATGATGACGTGGCCGTCAAACGTTTAATGAATCTTATCATGCAATTCCGCAAAGTATGTAATCATCCAGAGCTTTTTGAACGTGCGGATGTCACGGCACCTTTATCGTTTGCTGGCTTTGGCGTCACAGCAAATGTGGCACGAGATGGGGAACTTTTGGAGTGTGCTTACTCGACTCGTAGCATGATCGACTTCACTATTCCGAAAACAGTGTATCGAGAAGGGGGAATGCTGTCCGTGCCTGGTTCATCATCTCGCGCTGGGTTCGATACACTTTATCTGGATCGATTAATGAACATTTGGTCGACACCGAACTTACTTGAAGCCGCTTCAGATGGATGTCTAGTTCCATCATGGGCTAGGTTGCTAGATTTCAGTATTGGTGATATACAACGCTTGGCACACGACCCCACAGCAAAACGCATACCTTGGCTTCTGTCACGGAGAGACCACCTGAGACAATTAGCAAAAGCAAGCAGGTGAGCATCACAATTGCTTCGGTGCAAATGTAGAGATCTGTATCGAGTTTTTCTCAAAACTGACCCTGTTACATTTATCACAACTTGACAGTTTAACGGACTCGGTTGCGTTTGATATGAAAACTACTGATGTCTTATCCCGCTCCGAGATTCTCGCATCAGACATTGTGTCGCACGTACCCAACACGCCGCAATTGTCAGAAATCGTCCATGACCTTCGCTCCAGCTCAAGAATGACTCGATCAGATGTTCAAATCTATTCAGAGACGGTAGTCGCCCCGCCCATCAATTTTACATGTCGGGATCAAAGCTTTTTGGTTGAACAGAGTCGCATTCGATTTGATCCATTAGTTCGTGCTGCGCTGTATGGTATGCCAGATGAATCGAGGGAATCTATGGAGATGTGTGAAAGATACCAAGAAAGATTCTCATCTCTAGAAACCAACGGTATTTTGGGAGCTTCTTCGACCGATCAATTACCTCGTTCTTTCATGGAAGTACCTCAATTAGAGAAACTAATGCTCGACTCTGGTAAATTAGCAAGATTGGATAGTCTGTTACAAGAACTCAAAACAGGTGGACATCGAGTCTTGATCTACTTTCAGATGACAAGGATGATTGATTTGATGGAAGAGTATCTTAGCTTTAGACATTATCGTTATCTTCGACTGGATGGTAGTTCAACCATCAGTGAGAGAAGGGATATGGTCATGGATTGGCAAACACGTCCGGAGATTTTTATCTTCTTGCTATCGACTCGTGCTGGTGGATTAGGTATCAACTTGACTGCTGCAGATACAGTAATTTTCTATGATTGTGATTGGAATCCATCAGTAAGTCAACCAGTACTCTCCTCACACATCAAAACCCAGTCAACAATCATGAACGATTTCATATCACTGACCACATATGGTGCGGGCCCTCTTTTTAGAACGATCAACAAGCTATGGATCGAGCACATCGACTGGGACAAAAGCGACAAGTGACAGTATATCGATTGATTACATCAGGTACAATTGATGAACGTATACTTAAACTGGCACGAACGAAGAAGACAGTGCAAGACGCAGTAGTAGGCTCAAGTAGTGGGGCAAATCCAATGTCGGGAAGTAGCGGAGATACAGCGAAACCGAACGAAGTTGTATCCTTGCTATTAGATGAAGAAGAATTAGAGGCTGGACTTCGTGCTCAGGCTGCTAAACGAGAGGCTTTGAAAGAAAAGCAGGTTCAAAACGGATTACGTGAGTCCATCTTTTTTTGTTACACAAACTATAGAATACACTCGTATTGAAGGGTATTCTTGGACTCTTGTTGTTTTGATAGGCGGTGTGAGACTAAGGGAAGAGCGTAAGGCTGCATTGGCGAACAGTAATAACAACCAGGGAGGGGCAGGTTGGGGTAGTAATATTGACGATGATGAAGAAGCATTAGGTTTTTTTGCAAATGTACCGACATCTAAACCACCGACGTTTGATGAAATGGGAGGTGGTGAAGCTAATGAAAGTATTAACTTGGAAGGAGGAACAAGTGGTGGTAACAAACCACAGAAAACTAAAAAGCGCAAACCAACAACGGGGCAAGTTGAGGAAGATCTACAAGGTGAAGGACCCAAGAAGAAAGCTAGAGCTAAAAAGAAAACTGTCACTGGGGCAACGGAATAGAATTATTCTACATTTTCTTACATTTCATCAATCATCAAATCCATTCTTTTTCTTTTTGTAATTCACTTTGTTTTCTGTCTTGGTGATATAATTGTTCTTTCTTTTCGGAATAATCTTCTTTTGGTCGTTGTGTGATTTTTTTTATCTTCCATAAGGTGTCACTGTGTTTATGTTTATGGTTTTCTTTTAACCTTTTTTTAATCAGGGTTGATTAGATATATATATATGTGTATGTATGTGATCATAAGTGAGCGAAGAATCTGGGGTAGATTTCTGTTTGTCTTTATTGGTATTTTTTTGTGTGAGTACAATAATTTAAATTAGATTTCGTTAGTTATATGAAGCAACCAAAGTTCGAAAACATGAATACAAAGAAGTCAAAAAGAGACTAAATTTGTGATTTTTCTTGACCAAGGTTGGGACAGATAAATTATTGCTCATCTGTAGATTTGATTACAAATGCATGTGGATGAACCTAAAAGAAATTCCACGTCAATTAGGCAAAGTTTTTTTCTGAGTTGAAGTTGAACTATTTTTTTAAAATCATCTCAATCAAGTGATCTGCAGTTCACTCCTTCTGAACGCATCTTTTGAGTCATACTGTGATTTTTTCACCTTTGATTTGTTCATGAAGATCCAAATCCAATCCTTGACTTGAAAAGTTTTTGTTACAAAACCACCTTGATGCAGTTCCATTTGCATGCACAATATTAATGTAGAGAGATCACTGATTTTTATGTTATTTACAGTTTTGAAGAAAGGTGCGGTTTACATTATGCATGCTGTGTGGGTCTTTTGCTAATAGGATGTACAATGTACATACCTGCATATTTCCAGTAAATTGGCTTGGGCCTCGTGTTAAGTTGGGACAAAAAGCGTGTGTGCATGATGACCGTAGTAAAATGGACGTTGTGGACTAGATTGTACAAACTCTCAAGACGGATGTCACTGTATCTCTATGACCTATCATGTTCTATTGTGTATGCAAGTTCTCTGTGCCAGCCAAAAACCATATTCACCCAGATTGCGATTGACAATAGGATATACCCCACCAATCCTGATGGCTATACTATCTCTTCATGGCTTGGACTTTAACTACTCTAATCAATAGCCCGACTTTATCTTCATAAAAAATGTTCTCCATTGTACTAGGAAGCTGTTCGATTGACCCAAGTGACCCTGTAACATCTCAATCCCGTTCTCTGAGTGATATAGAGCATACTCTCAGAATCAAATCATATTGTTTCCAAGTTGATGTTTTGGCTATAGAAAGGTTAAGATTTCATTTTATAACCAGATCCATATGAACATCTGGGATCAAGTTTGAATCATGACCGTGATTACATGAATTTCCATAACAAACGACAAAACAAAACAATTGATGAAATGAGGAATCCGAAAGATAGATGGTTGTTTTGAACAATCAATGTGCAAACCATCCTGTGGATTGAAGGTACAAATTAAGATAGCTGGTAAATGACTCAATAAGTTCCAATATAAGAAGCCAGTTGTGCACATGAGCAAGAGTAATATAAGAATGGGATAACAATGTCAGCGTAACGGGTCAAAATACATCAGTACATGAGTATTGAAACTTGTGCCGCTGCCAATAAACAGCTTAAACTGAGGAGACGCTGCCTTGAAGAGCCCATTTTGAGGCTAGCGGATGTGCCTTTCTTCGCTTTGTCTTTGGATGATCCCGTAGCTTTGAAAGATACCGAACCAGTCGTGTTTGCACTAGCTGCTAATGCCTGTGAATGGACATCAGGTAGCAATCCAGCCGAAGCATTACCATGGATTCCGATTGCTGATACCAAGAGTGCGGCACTGACAGCCTGAGACCGAATGTATTTCACAGGCTGAGTGTCTGTCGTCCAATTTCCCCCACAGTTCCACTGCTTATCACAAGAATTGCTGACCATTGCATTTACTGAGGCGTCGATCATCTTCTGAATGGCATCCTTAATAGTCGCATTAGTTGTCTGCCGATAAACATACACTAGGTTCCGAGCATAGATTGCCTTGAAGCCTTGCTGGTCTCTATTACACGATACATCAGCTTCGCATAGCTCAGTAATGACGCCAGTCGGAGCAAAAAGCTTCACAGAGTAGTCAAAGAAAGGAGAGATCATGTCTAAATAAGTTTGATTCTTAGTTGCAAGATTCATCCAAGCCAGCGATCCAATCAATTGTCCATAGTTGTAACTCCAACTCGTTTTTGTGAATTGCTGGCAGTTATTACTCGGCATTCCGTCAAGAAGCTCGCCTGTATTCAAATTTCCAAGACCGGAAGACATTATCCAGTCAAGAACCTGCTTCGATTGAGCTAATGCTGTTTCATTTTTGGTTTGCAGATAGTTTCTAGCGCCTTGTGAGATGAATTCAATCTGCGTGATGAGAGACTTGTATACGCCTGACGGAGACCCACGATCGCGAGACTGGAAGAGAGACGTTGTACCAGGTATACCCGAAAAGATGAGATATCTTTCCGTTATTTTGAAAGAAGACGAGGACGCCTACCCAATATATCCCACCTCCGCATTTGTCATCAGTTTCAACTCCAGTCTGGTCGTAAGTTTTGGTAGCCAGTGAGATCCAGTCACCATTGGAACGAGGCATGATAGCATTTGGACCAAACACCTCTGCTCCTCCTACGGCTAGCAACGAGGTGAGCAGAAAAAGGTTCAGTCTCGCGCTGACGATCAATTCCAATGACGAAAGGGTAGAATAGCTCAATCACCTGCCTAAAGAAAGAACCATCTATCAGAGCTATTCTCGATGTATGATTTGTAAAGGAGATGACTCACTTGACTTGGCCATAGTAGATCATCGTTCCAGACTCCCAAAAGGGTCTGGACCACGCTAACTGCATTCCCACCCAAGAAATCACTAAGATATTCAACTTCAGTCAGTCTTGAAACCTTGGCACTGCCCAAGAGCTGAGCAGCTGAGCAAGTAGAGGAACATGAACCCACTGTTCAGTCACGTATGAAATATTGACGAGAGCATCTGTGACAAGCTCCAAGAATTGTGTGTCGCCTGTCCATTTTGCATAATCAAAGAACATACCCCAAATCATACCAGATTCGTGCCATGGGGTTTGTACTTGAGAGAACACTCCACTCTACATAATCAGAAAATATAGGCGTAACTCATTGGTTAAGCGAAGCGGTTTTGAAAGCACCCGCAAATAAATGACAAATTTCACTCACTTGAGTGGGTGTGTAGTAAGTCAAAAGGTTCTGAAGCGCTTGAGTCGTCGCAGCGAAAACTTGGGCTGGGTTTGTGACATCCAACGTTGGGGAGTATGAGGCCGCCTGGGCCGATGATGCCTGCCAAAGGAGAAAGGTAGAAAGATGTCGCAAAAAAAGCATGATTGAATGATGAGAGTTGGATGAAAAGTGACCAGTGCAAAGTAAGAAAAGAAAATGCTCGGCATATGATTATTAGAGTCAAAGATCGGGTTGTAGTGTGGTTTCATCAAAAACGGCGATGAAGAGCTCACCTTCATTAATTCAGTCTCCGGTTGTCTGGAGTGAATCATGACCCGATATGCTGGAATCAAGGATCCCCTCTCCTACGTTACCGTTGATGCTGATTGACCTCATGAAAGTCAACAAAGCAAGCCTTATAAGGCAGGCGTTGTCTTCGATCGTCCCGCAACAAAATCAGGTGTCATCACTGATCAGGTTTCGATTTCTAGGTGCTCAGGCTTTGTAGCAGCAATCCTCTGCAGTGCGACGATGGTAAACCCTTGTCATCCTCGCATAGTGATCTCAGTTCGATTGACCTGAACAATCTCGTGTTTTGTGGGTGAAATCGCGTTCACAACCTTCAAGCGTTTAGGATGCTCACCCGTCTGACGATACCACAGGAAAGTGTGTGTGAGTCTTCACCCCCTGTATTGGTTTCTGGTTATACTACATAGAGGTATGTAGCCTTATATCCAGGTGATTTGAAATCGATATACACATATTTTTTGATCGTTTTTGACTATGTACTTGACTGTATTACAACTCAATTCTTGGCATCGACACTCAACACTCACCCTTTTGCGAGTTGACAATCCTTCCACGTCTTGGTCTCAGCACACACCTTCAAAACTCAAAAATTCGAAAACATCATCATCGACACTTCCTCAGACACGGAACCGACACTCTATTGACGATATCTGATTCATAACCCACGCGATCTTCTGTAAGACGCTCTCTGTTTTTATCTTTTCATAAACACCCCACATGATGTTTTATATAGTAAAAGGGTCGAGATCCAAAGGACATGTGCCCTTGTTGGGTCAGATTGACGTATTTGTCTTTAGATCTTAACTGCATTCCGAACCTGCTGCTCAGGCTTTGATCAATGACGGGTTGACGACCCAATCTTGGTCTTACTGGTCGTCTATTGCCTTTGGGCCGTTTTCTCGCAATTCGAATTCCTCTCATTCTCATCTTTCAACGTCTTTTTCCCGGTCCATCCTTCTCGTCATCGAATGAAGTTTTAAAGGATTTGCATGATCGTAAGGCAAGACGCAGATTTATCATCATGTTGACCCATCAAGTTTTCGAACCGCTCGAATGGTATTCTATCTTGTTCTCAAACACTTTCTCGTCGACGTTTCAGGAGACCAGTATATGCGGTTCAAGAGCCTGATCGAGCCATTCTCGGTTGAAAACATACAAGTTGGCATTAAAGCTCTTTATTGTGTTCTCACACATTGGCGATTCGGAAGAATAGCTTCATCTTCCGCGACATTCGCAAAGGCAAGAGCTTATATTTCGAAGACCTTTTCATTTGGTTTTTATATCAATGATTCATCAGGTCGCCCTCTAGCCAGCTAAGCCTGATCTTGAACTGCTTTCTGCAGAGCTCATGTTACAGTGATCATCACTCTTGTTTCAGGTGGCCACGGAATGGAAATACGGGATGCAAATCAACTCGTACCAGGAGGGTATATCAACCTTCATGCCATTGCGACCATCTCATGTAAGATGGTCCTCAGTCTTGCGACTTGAGAGACTCAGTAGTCTGATCAAGATGGATGAATGGCTTACATTGGAGGTGACTGGATTCAAATTCCTGTAGACTGCTTATTGTGACATAGTCTTTCATGTTCGGCAAGGATTGGGGATGATATCAATCCCCATTGTTCGATGGATTGTCACTTATGACAGTCTTTGTGATTAGTTCTGTCTCGGGGCTGTACTGTAAATCGCCATTATAACTCGGCGCTCATCTATCTTGGATATATGATAACAAAATCTGGCAACTTGTCGGCCTGATGGGATTAATTTCACTCCTCAATCCACTTTCAGTATCTTTCATCAGGAACTAACTATTTGATTATCGATGCTCTGCAATGGTAAACCTCGTCTATTTGAACCCCGTAGGTCTCGGGAATACAACCATTCCGGATAATGTCGTCGGCGTTCCTTGTTCGTCTGGGCGACCTCAGTCCCGTATTTAATTTCTTCGCCTGGTGGTTCCTGCCAGGTTATATGTCTTCTTTCGCACTTGGGGCATTCTACCGATTAAGGCCTTCTTATCGGCCAAAGCCCTTGCCACCTCAGCCGACTGATGCCAACCAAAAGCCAGTCTTTGATCCGATCTATGAGATTCATAAAGCGGAACAGACCAATCACCTCAAAAGACATCGAACGATGGCTCATGCTTGTGTTATCATACTCTATTTAGTTTACACAGTCCTTAGTACATACTACAAGCAGGCCGGGACAAATCATTACTCAACTCTTGGCCTTCGATCTAATTCAATCGCTTCTAATTTACCGTTTCCCAGCACCCAAAATAAAGTAATCGATTCAACTCCGGTTCTATCTGAAGGACAAATAGATGATTCTGGTTTCAAATCACATTGGAGGAAATTGGCCAAAGCTTTCCACCCTGATAAGCTCAATCCGCCTTCCAACTTAGGTAGTGAAGAGGAGGTCTTGGAGTGGAAGAGTGAAATCGAGTCAAAATTCATCGGGATGCGAGAGGCCTATGAGACTCTCAGTGATGGAACGAAGCGATGGGCCTATGATCGGTCTGTTAAAATTTGAATCTCCCTGTTTGCCCACTTGTCCCATCTTATCATGGTATTGATCCTATTGGCTTGTTATCAGGTTTGGTCCCGTGATCGCTACTTGGAAAAATTGCGCCACACTTCGAGAATTTCTCATGGAAGGGCTCAAGCTATTGGCGCCATTCTACACATTCACCATTGCCTCACTTTCACTCATAGGCACTTTTCGAAAGACCGATCCCGGTGCATTTGTTAGTCGACTTGGTTATTCAATCCATGACTTTAATTTCACACTGATGCGACTTTGGATATCGTTGGATAGTGGCGTTGGACGGTCCTACTTTGTATATTTGCCGCTGAACTTTCACTCATTACCTCAACTGCCACGACATGGGTTTCGAGCTTGCTATCATTCATCTTCCCCAACCGAACCATTTTCGAACACATCGCCCTTCTTCGCCAGATATTTGTTGCTTGCTCGTGTATTGCCACTCAACTTGCTGGCATTCGGTACCCACCTCCAGCGGATTTAGACAAGACTCAAAACGTCGGACAACTGATGGCCCCCATCATGCCTTTACTTGATCGAGCCCAGCAATATTCTACACTCGCCAATACGGAAGTGGTGAAGATGATATACAACGATCTTTACCCGATACTACACGCCGATGCAAGCTCACAGAACGGTCGAAGGCTCAGTCTCGAGAGCGAGGACGCGGTAGCCAAGGTAAATGGGGGCCCAGAAGGCAGTAGTAATGAGACCAAAAAGGAAGTCGACCCAGCCGAGGAAATTCGAATGCAGGAGACTATCAAGACGCTCAAAACGAAGATGTTAGAGGTACGTGCAATCATCTTTTTGTCTTGGTCCCTCTGAAGACTTTCTTGGACTGGTCAATGTGATCTTAAATGTATATAACTAACAACCTTGTCTTACGCTGAAATTTTTCCACCAGGTATTTTGTGATTTGCGTTTACAATCTAATGATGCAGGTCGAGCTGCTTGGAACCAAGCTATCCGTGAGGAAGCAAGACGTCAAAATATTCATGATCGATAAACCTTGTTCACCTATGGGATCACAATGGACCCAAAGAGGTGCTGTATGTGTTGTTGTAGAAAATGAACAAATCTCATTTCAAGAATCGCTTGTGATCATACAAAACTCTTAACTACTTATAAGCGTAAAAATTGTTCAATAAGTCCGGCCATAGAAAGGCGTCATTCATCGTTCTTTTTTTCTTTACCTCGTTCATTCATTCATTCATTCTCTATTTCTCTTGTTCTCTCTAGTGCTGCAGCATTCTTTTTTTTGCTTTGTGGATATTTGAGATGATTGTTTTTTTTGCTTTGAATTTTGATTGGGAATGCTTGAGTTACTTCACCATAGATATGTTCATGGCATCTTTTGAGGAGGTCCATACATTTGAATGATCAGTTTGAGCGGTTATCGGTAGAAGACTAAGCTTGTCGTTCTTGGGTGACGTAGGCATGGGGTGGGTTCATCCAAACCAATGAGCATCTATGTCACTCGACTCAAAATTGTTGATATAAATCTGGATTCCGTTGTCTTTTTGCCATGAAGGCAGTAAGTTGATACTTCATATCTTGCCTCTGCTCCAAAGAGTTCATGTCAGATCTGCAGCCTGGGGAGAAATATGATATTGGTATGAGGGCATTAATTAACAATATAGCCACATTGAGTGTTCTACTCCTCATTAAGTTATATGTGTATGTATGTATGGCAGACACCAATCTCTCTCATGAATAGATGGTCAAGATGATCTGTGTACATTTTGGTGTACTTGAAGTTCAAAGAGGACTTTGGGGTCAATTTTCAAATGTAGATACAAGAATATGAGAATTTTGGGCTAGATAACATCCCTTCAGGTGGAATTACAGCATCAGTGGACACAGATCCCATCCACACTTGAGCTCCATGAAGGATGACGACTTGCACAAGGTGGCCTGATTGGTTGCAGTGAAAATGTGACATGTGATAAAATAAAATGAAAATTTAGTTGTTTCACATAGATGGATTTGAAGTCCACCTCAGCATCATTATTATTGGTGAACCTTGTGGGTTTCAATAGAATAAAGCTGAAGAATTGTTTAGAAGAAGTGATGTCCAGTTTTTTGTGCACAATCCCAAGGAGTCATGGCTGAGTATCATATAAGATCTTTAAACAGATCTTCAACCAGTGGTTTTCTATGTCTGATACAATTATCTATCTTAAAGTTACCCAGCTCTCTTGTCTTTTTAATTTATTCACACTATTCTCAGGTATAAAAAACACTCATCATGATGGTGCTCAAGTTAGAGATCTCCAATTCCCTGAAATTATGTTGCTTCTTTCTATGGGCATCATGTTCACTTGCCACACTTTTGTAAATTTGGTCTGTAGATCCTCTTCTTGTTTATTCTTAACTTTGTCTCTTGTACCATTAGGCGCTTTTCTTTGTCAACACACCCGTGTTCTCCTTTAGCCCTACTCAGAACAACTTGTGTTCTTTCAAAGCTTGACCTGTTAAAAGAGCACCATATTGGAAAGGTGGTCTGCATAGTGGGACAAACCTCTGACAGCATATGTCATAGTAGACCACCACTTGTCCATTGGCATGAGTCTATCATCTGCACAAGCTGCATTGTGAACTCAATGATGGCTTCAAAGTTTTGCAGGAGATCCACAAGCGGAGGGCTGGAAGAATTCCTTCCAAACCTACTCCAGAAGCTTTGCACATTTATGGGATACAAAGTTAAATCTGGGAGTTTTTTCCCAGTTTCCCATGTTCCCAAAATACAGCCAAAAACAAAAACTGGGAAACTGGGAAAAACTCCTAGATTTAAATTTGTATCCCATAATTCTTCTTCCCTCTTGGATAGATCTATAGGACTCATAGAGGCTAAGACCTCCCTGAAGAAAACAGAATTTTCAGTGATCATCAATGATTGGAAAAGGTCAAATTTTCAAACATTAAAAGCTCATGTCAAGATAAAAAACAGCCAGAAAACATGTGATTGTTTGGTCATCATCATTGAAGTGTTGAAATCCTGTTTGACATCAATCTTGGATCAGACTGCCTCTAGTACCTGTGACACACTGTCTGCCAGAAGAATCAGGGGTATCAACCAATTGTAAGGAAAATATGCTGGGCTGATATATCTAGTTGGATCAATTGATGGAGTTGCAATATACATAGTTGCAAAGTTTCAACACCAGTGAGGTGCTCTAGAACAGTCCCAATATGTACCATGCTAACATGGAGCTCCTCCAAAGAGAGACATTTTAAGGTGTAGAAATGAATTTACTAAACTTCCAGGCTAATTGTTTAATCCAAGTATTCAGTAACATACATATCATATGGCCATTTCTATGTTTTGATGACATTGTCATACATCTCCATGCACATAAATACCATGTGAAAACATCCATCCAGGATTTCCACGGCATGTCTGTCACCTTTCTTCATTTCATCTTCTGTTTTGCTCTGAGGATGGGGTACATTGATATTTCCATTTGATACTCTACAAAAATGAAAAATGTTGATATTAACAAAACACAGGAAGGGCCTTCTGGAAATTGCCACACAACTTTTTCCAGAACACCAAAACATTTTTTTGGTGTGTTCTGGCATTCTGGTGCTCTGCAACTGCAATTGCCCCACTTTGTGTGTTTTCCAGAACACCAGAAGCCCTCTGGAAAAATTTCCTAAAATATAATATGACTCTTCTTGAAGATCTGGGAAATTAGATCTTGTAAGTTTCATAATTGATCCATGAATGGAATGGATGTGTCTTGTGAAATGATGAGTGCCAAATTCAGGAAGTTGTCACCACCCGCAACAAATCTTTCCCATATCAAAACCTTCATTGTGTTGTTGCTTGGCCACATGCCAACACTACCAACATATTTACCTTGGATTAAAAAATCTGAGGTATCCTCGGATGCAAAACCTTGGACAAGTTCTGTCCAAGGATTTGCCTCCAATGATGCTTTGGATTTCTCAACCCGAGGCATCTATTCTGGCAGTGCAACACTCACATTGAACAAATGGTCATAAGTAGCCAAGAAAAAACAAGAGAATCATGCGCTTGAATGACAGGTCATCACCATAGATGAATGAAGCTGGCTGTCTGTAGATTTTGCTGCTTCAGACTGTTTGCACACTTTGACAAGCATACCAGGTTGTCAAACAAAAACAATTGAGATCTTCCCTACATTTTTCAGCTTGTCCATTCAAAAATACCTTTGCCAATTCCGCTTGATCTGACATACAAGCCTGTGGGGCAAAGGCCCACTGGAGTTTATTACACTGCCAAAATAATGTGTTTTTCCATGGCAAAAAATGATTGATTCTAGCATTTAAAATGCCTTGCTTGATATTGGCCCAAAAAATCTGAAAAAATCTGGTAGGGCAAAATGTGCTATTTTCTTCCAGTTGGGAGATTTTGGTCATTGTAAAAAAATTCTAGCACTCAGTTTGGTGATGTTCAAAATTTTTGTGGAACAACACATAAATATGCAGCACCAAAGCACTAAATTCACCCTTCAATATTGACAAGAAAAATCTGAAAAAAAATTACAAGTGGAGGACAATATCCCCTTTGTTGAACGTTTTTTTCAGAATTTTTCTGGCTCAGTATGCAAGTCATCACATGTGTGTAATTTTAGGTACTTAAACGCTACTGCCATATGTACAAGGCTCCAAAACCACCCAGAAAAAATTTTGCAGCACAACAAAGGATGCAAGATCATCTGTACATGGTTTGGAGACAGTGTGTGGAATTTTGATGCCCCTGTGAACCAAAATGCATTTGAACTTTATTTGGTAGACTTTCAATGTTCTAACCTGCATGTATCCAATACAAAGGCATCAAAAAATCCGAAAAAAACACCACACATCACAAAGGGGATTTCTGATCTCTCCTGATTTTTCCGCATTTTTTGGACTTCTTTGAGAGGGAAAAAGCTGGTAAAAACATTAAAAATTGCTTGCTGGGTTCATGCTGAGTATGAGGCTTTAAGCAACCCCAAAAAAACATTGCAGGACAAAGAGCGTTGTATCTCTCTCCAGATCTTTTTCCAAGCGTTTTGGGCCACAACTGGGCCCACAATTCCAGGTACAATTTTTTGTCAATCATTTTTCCAAAAATGCAATCATTTTTTGCTAGGGAGAAACCCATTATTTTCACAGTGTTAGACATTCACAATGGTGGATTCCTGGAGAGTGTGGAAAGCCCAAAAAGCTCAGTCATATAAACTTGATCATATACCAAGAAAGATTCTGACCTGATCTAACACAGATGTTGTCCATATGGCTGCCCCGTCTGACGTTCCCCTAAGCATGCCACAAAACATACCATCTCCTCTGAGCCAACTCCGGCTCTGATCAGGCAACAACAATAGACCAGATTTCTGTGAGGCAAAGTCAGAGACCTATGCAGTAACAGTTTAGGGGACAGGAAAATGGTGTGGATATAGTCATACATCTTAGATCCAAAAATTCTGTGTTTCAAGATAGAAATCCTTTGCAACACAGTGACCTTCTTGACCAGTAGGCAAGAGTAAACAGTGCTTGACAACTCTTGAAACTCCTTTAGGTAAGTATCCTTCTAACACCAGTATATATTTAGGAAGATGGATAGCGTATGCAGAAAGTCTCTTGATACCTTGAGCCAGGATAGCCCATCTCTTCCAAATAGACATTAGACGTCCAATATCACCAGCTCACATGGCTTTATCAGCTTCAACCACAGTAGCAAAATCACGTAGTCTTAGGCGTAAGTTGTAAAGTGCACCATTGTCAGCCTCTTCAGCATTGCAAATGCTTTGACCGGTGAAAAAGTTATCATAAACTTCGTCACCCAATGCTTGAGCTACACCAGGATGGGTGATATCAAAATTGTTCCCTTTTGAAGTTATAAATTCCCTACGCAGAAAAAACAAAGAGATAAACATTTTGGGGATGAATCAGATTCAGAAAAACTTGACAAACTTGAGCAAAAAAGCCAGTGTTGATGAATGAATCTTGTGCACCACTGTCATCAATAATCCAAAGTCCTTCTTATCAAACAGCTCATCTGCCTCCATTCCTAAGCTTGCAGCACATCTAGTTACACCAGAATCTTGAGAGTCTTCTGAATTTCCCATATAGTGACTAACTATCCCACTAGTCATATTCCACATAGTATGAGAACCGGCAAGACACTGCATCATATTCCGTAGGCTTTCTTCAGGATGTCCCGCTGGAAACCTTTTGTGTTCAGCAGAAGCAAAGTTTCTAACAGTTCCTAGATCCCCTTCTACCTGTTTCACATGTGATGCAAAATCCTTTGGATCTAAACCAAGCTGTGCAATAAGTTGTTCAATAACTTGTCCCATGCCGG